TGAGGATGAGGATGAAGATGATGAGGATGATGAAGATGAGGAGGAGGAAGACGACGATGATGGCGGCGACAACGAGGACGACAACGATGAGGGCGAGGAGGAGGATGATAATGAGGATGATGACGACGATGATAATAATGAGGATGAAGATGAGGATGGGGATGAAGATGAGGATGATGAGGGTGACGACGAGGATGATGACAACGATGACGATGAAGACAATGAGGACAACAGTGCTGATGACGATGAGGATGACGATAACGAGGATGATGATGACGACGATGATGATGATGAGGATGACAACAATGATGAGGACGATAACAATGATGATGAGGATGAAGATGAAGATGAAGGCAACAACAGTGCCGACACGGAGGCCAACAACCGCGGTGGCGCTGATGACAACAGCAGTGACCACAACGACAGCGAGGGCGGCCACCACCACCACGATGAAGATGATGATGAAGGTGAGGATGATGGGGATGAAGATGAGGATGATGAGGATGATGAGGAAGAAGACAACAATGATGACGGCGACGACAACGAGGACGACAACGATGAGGATGATGAGGATGACGATAACGAGGATGATGATGAGGATGATAACGATGATGATGATAACAATGATGATGATGATGACAACGATGATGAGGATGAAGATAAGGATGATGAGGATGACAATGAGGACGACAACGATGAGGACGATGAGGATGACGATAACGAGGATGATGATGATGAGGAGGATGATAACAATGATGATGATGATGACAACGATGATGAGGATGAAGATAAGGATGATGAGGATGACAAAGAGGACGACAATGATGAGGACGAAGAGGATGACGATAACGAGGATGATGATGATGATAATGAAGATGATGACGACGATGAAGACAAGGATGAGGACGAAGATGGGGATGAAGATGATGATGAAGAAGAAGATGAAGATGAAGATGAAGATGAAGATGAAGATGAAGATGAAGATGAAGATGAAGGCAACAACAGTGCCGACACCGAGGCCAACAACCCCGGTGGCGCTGACAACAACAGCAGTGACCACAACGACAGCGAGGGCGGCCACCACCACCACCACGACGACGACGACGACGACGACGAGGCCGAAGCCGTACCGTGCGCGGCGGCGGCGCGGCGCTCGGAGGCCAGGAGGAACCGCGGGCTGTCGGGGCAGCGCGGCAGCAGCAGGGCCTGCAGGGCGGCGGGGCACAGCCCCAAACCCAGCAGCAGCGGCCAGCGCCGCGCCGTGCCCAGCAGGGAGCCCAGCCCCAGCACCTGTGAGAGGGGAGGTGGGGTAATCCCAGTCTATGGGGGGGTAATCCCATTTCATTGGGGCGTAATCCCAGTTTATGGGGTGTAATCCCATCATATGGGGGCGTAATCCAGTCATATGGGGGGTAATCCAGTCATATGGGGGGTAATCCCATTTTATTGGGGCGTAATCCCAGTTTATGGGGTGTAATCCCATCATATGGATGTGTAATCCCGTCATATGGGGGGTAATCCCATTTCATTGGGGTGTAATCCCATCATATGGGGGGGTAATCCAGTCATATGGGGGGTAATCCCATCGTATGGGGGGGTAATCCCATTTTATTGGGGTGCAATCCCAGTTTATGGGGTGTAATCCCATTGTATGGGGGGGTAATCCCGTCGTAGGGGCGG